AAAAACGTAATGACGTCACATCAATCAAGCTCCGCCCTACGCGTTTCGTCATCGACGTCCTCACGGAGCGGAGGACGTCGATGACGAAACGCGTAGGGCGGAGCTTGATTGATGTGACGTCATTACGTTTTTTGGCTGCCAGCTGCTGCGCATGTGCTGAGTAGCCAGGCTCGTTTATGTGATTGCTGTTATGCTGTTGATGCTGGTGTCGGCTGGGACACCTCTTGAGTAAGTGCAATGAGTACCTAATAAAGGAATTGGTTTTTATAATATTGCACCATGAAGTCTTTCTGTTTCTCTCGAGTGTTTGGCATTTCCCCCCATGGATACGTTTGAAGGTGGTCCTTTATCTATTGGAGAGGTGGATTTTCGATTAACTACAAAGTTTTTCATCCTGTTATTTCGATCGATGAGGATCGGTGTGTTGCAGAGTTTCCGTTTCTGAAGATATATTTATGGATGATCTGCCATTATATTATCAAGGTTTTTTGGTGAAATTTTTCATATTTAGACACTTTTTTGCACAAAAGTTTTTTGCGCTTAAAAGTTTTTTTATATATTTTTTTGTGGTATTGGCATATATATATTTTTTTCTGGACTTATGATTTGATGATTTCTTTATATACATTTATATATTTGTACACATTTACTACAGTAACAATACAATACACGAGGGGTTCGAGGACCCTGCTGCTTGGAGCTTACAATCTAGGAGGGAGGGGAGAGTGGTACAGAAGGAAATAGCTGTGGGGGATGGAGTGGTGGGAAGAACGGAGGAGATCGGCAATTAGGTGAGGTTGAGGTAGGCTTCTCTGAAGAGATGGGTTTTCAGGGTGCGCCTAAAGGTGAGGAGGGTAGGTGACAATCTGATGGATTGGGGTAGTGAGTTCCAGAGGATGGGGGAAGCCCTGGAGAAGTCCTGGAGATGGGCATGGGAGGAGGAGACCAGGGAACTAGAGAGTAGGAGGTCTTGTGAGGAGCGGAGAGTGTGTTTTGGGTGTTAGATGGATATCAGGTCGGTGATGTAGTTTGGGGCAGTGTTATGAACAGCTTTGTACGTCAATGTTAATATTTTGAATGTTATGCGTTGGGCAATCGGAAGCCAGTGGAGGGATTGGCAGAGGGGGGTGGCGGATACGATGCGGTTGGTAAGGTGGATGAGTCTGTCCACAGAATTCAGGATAGACTGAAGCGGGGATAGCCTGTGTTGGGGTAGGCCGGCAAGGAGGGAGTTACACTTTGTATGTGCCTATCTTAAGGAAGAATGTACAACATAGTATATATAGTGCAGGGTCGGGAATATATAATAATGTAATATGTACAGAGTGTTGTTTTCAGGAGTATATAACATCCAGGTTAGTGCATAGAAGGGGCTAGGAGTATGTAACATACAGATTGCAGGTGTCTGTCACATACTATAGGTTGTAGCGATCAGTAATATTTAAACAGGAACTAAACTCTCTCAATCAAAATAACACAGTATATTTACTTATCATATCACAAATATGGGGTTGTTTTGACCTCCATTTTTTATTTCTTTGATCAGTAAAATATAATTTTTTTTTACTTTATTTAATTTTTTTTATACATGCTAGTTGTGTTTGGTCTCCTGAGAGCTATAAATAAAAACAAACAAGGGCGCACTCTCATCGTGCATTACCGTGGTATACCACGTAATTTATTAAATAAAAAGGATGCTAACAGCTCTGAGGAAGGGAGTTTAACTCCCAAAACGCGTGAGCTTATCCGCATCATTAGACACATTTGCATTGCGACTGTTTTTGTGGATCACCTATACTGCTCATTATCACATTGGTTTGTGAGTATACATCCTTTTTATTTAATAAATTTTGTTGTATACCACGGTAATGCACGATGAGAGTGCGCCCTTGTTTGTTTTTATTCATTAGTGGTCAGATTTCCCGATCTCAGAAGGGCAGCACCTCTTCGGTTGGCATTCTACAATTCCTTGGTTTGCATGAAAATTGGAGCGCTGGTTTCGTTTGTTTTTCTCCTGAGAGCTATATTCAAAGTCCCATCTTTCTAGCTTGTTTTTGTATTGTGGAGAAAAGGGCCTGGGTAGCTGGGCATTTTCTTGTGAATATGTATCAACTAAGGGATTTAAAACAAAATATCATGCAGAGGGGAGAGGGCCTTTTCATGCAGCCTAAAGGGCAACATTGACAATTCATAAATATTTTAAATAACATACTTAGGAGATGCCGTAAAGTTGCATGTGGTGTTAGCCTGGAGATGGCTTTAAATGTAAGTAAACACACTAACACCTTAAAAAAAACCCTTTAATGAAATTACAGAAGAAAACTATTTTTAGAAAATCACTTGTATCCCTCAATGTAAATCCATTGTCTAGCAGTTTCTATGTAAACTTTCATTGACCATGATGACCCACCACCTGATGAGGTTTCCTCATCACACTTCCATCGCTAAGCCCTGGTTCACACTGAATACGACTTGAAATTGTGTAACTTCACTTGAAGTTGTGCGATTTCAAAGTCGCATGTCAGTGCAACTTCAGGCATGATTTGTAAGATGTCTGTGTGACTTCAGCTGTCAATGCCAGTTGCACTAGGGTATTAAAGTAGTGCAGGAAATACTTTTCAAATCGGTGTGACTCGGTGTGAAGTTGGAGAGTAGCACCAATCAGAATGGTTCCTTTGCCAATCATAGGGCGCGACTTGTCATGCAATTTGACACTGTCAAACTGGTGTGAACCAGGGCTGGTGTGAACCAGGGCTAAATGACATATACAGTTGTGGCCAAAATTATTCAACCCCCAATGCTGTAAAGGGGTTTAGGGACTATAGTGTACATTTGGAATTGTATTCAGAATCAAATCCTACAAGGACGTTGTAACTACCCAAATGCAACTAAAATGACATCAATTGTTTATGTAATACAGTAGTAAATGGTTCTTATGTGGTTTCTTCATTGCCACAATTATTCAACCCCTTAAAGACTACCACTCTGAAGAACAGAGGTTCATACAGGTGCTTTCCATCATGTATTGAAAACACCTGTGGATGTCACCGAGCAGCAATCAAGCATAATAAGCACCAATTAGGCAGCTTTAAAATGACTGTGATACTCAGCTCCTTCTAGACATTTACTGGTGTGGTTACAAACATGGTGAAGGCAAGAGAATGGTCCAGGAAGACAAGAGAAGAGGTGATTTCTCTTAAGGAAGGGCAATGGCTATAAAGAAGATTGCAAAGATGTTAAACATACCAAGAGACACCTTAGGAAGCATCATTCGCAAATTCAAGGCAAAGGGCACTGTTGAAACGCTACCTGGTCGTGGCAGAAAGAAGATGCTGACTTCGACTGCTGTGCGCTACCTGAAGCGTAGAGTGGAGAGAAGTCCCCGTGTGACTGCTGAGGAACTGAGAAAAGATTTGTCAGATGTGGGTACAGAAGTTTCAGCCCAGACAATAAGACGCACACTGCGTAATGAAGGCCTCCGTGCCAGAACTCCCAGGCGTACCCCCTTGCTGTCTCAAAGAATAAGAAGAGTCGACTGCAGTATGCCAAAAGCCATGTGGACAAACCACAAAAGTTGTGGGATAGTGTTCTGTGGACTGATGAAACAAAATTAGAACTGTTTGGGCCCATGGATCAACGCTATGTTTGGAGGAGGAAGAACAAGGCCTATGATGAAAAGAACACCTTGCCTACTGTGAAGCATGGTGGAGGGTCAATCATGCTTTGGGGCTGTTTTGCTTCTGCAGGTACAGGGAAGCTTCAGCGTGTGCAAGGTACCATGAATTCTCTTCAGTACCAGGAGATATTGGATGGAAACGTGATGCAGTCCGTCACACACCTGAGGCTTGGGAGACGTTGGACCTTTCAACAGGACAATGATCCCAAGCATACCTCCAAGTCCACTAGAGCATGGTTGCAGAGGAAAGGCTGGAACATTTTGGAGTGGCCATCGCAGTCACCAGACTTAAATCCGATTGAGAACCTCTGGTGGGACTTAAAGAAAGCAGTTGCAGTGCGCAAGCCTAAGAATGTGACTGAACTGGAGGCCTTTGCCCATGAAGAATGGGCGAAGATACCCGTAGATCGCTGCAAAGACATTGTGTCAAGCTATGCTTCACGTTTAAAAGCTGTTATAACTGTAAAAGGATGCTGTACTAAGTACTAAGATTGAATGTCACTTGGGGGTTGAATAAAACTGATAATGCTGTGAGCACAGAAAAGACATTTGTGGTTATTTCATTATAACTGTTATGTTATATTTGTCTGACCTACAAGTGCCTCTTTAATGTAAATGTAAGCAAGATGACTGAATGATCAAAAGCAATGTCAAACTGGCCAAAACACTCAATTTCAGTGGGGGTTGAATAATTTTGGCCACAACTGTATCCCTGGTGCAGTGGTAATGTAAACTCAGTGCAAGGGAACCTGTGTGATGTCAGTGACTAAATATGGGAACACTAATGTTAACAAATGACTTAACCTCCCTAGCGCTCTGATTATGTCCATATTTCTGTGCTCAAAGCGGTACATTTTTTTGCATGGAAATATGTTTTTTTTTTTATTGTAGGCCTGTAATTTTTAGGAATAACTCACTGAAATCTGTCTGAACAAGAGTCTAGTAAACATCCCGTGTATGTTAAAATTTGAAACTCGAAATCATAAATTATAATTTAATAAATAATCATAAAAAATAATATATATACATTTTAATTCAATAATATAATCAAACCAAAAACACTGAAATTTGAAATATAGCGCCAAGTTCACACATCACTGAGCAAAGTCGCAAAATCGTTTTCAGTGTCTGATGACGAATTTCCCCACAAATCATCACTCAATTTTGCAAGTAGTTCTAATCTACTATCGCTGTTCTCTAGCTGGTCTAAAACCACTTTTGACCTAAAGGGACGCTTTTTGGACGCCATAGATGTTTCTCAGTTTCCAGGCAGAAAGAACAGTAAAAATGTAGGCAGGGCACAGGACAAAGCACTAGGGACAAAATGTATGTGAAATGGTTTGATACAGTAATGTTTTACTATGTGATTTTAGTGAATGTCACTTTTTGTCATTTTCAAATTTCCCGCCGTTCCGTCCCTGTATGTCCCGACGTCACAGGGGACGGAACCCAGAAGACAGATGCCGGAATCCGCTGGAGGACATTACAGGGGACACTGCAGGAGGGACATCGCGGGAGCGCAGGACAAGGTAAGAGAAGAACAGATCCCGGAGCAGCGCCGCATGGTAAGCCCGAGTGTAGTTCGGGGTTACCGCTTGTGGTACTGAAACTTTACCCCGAGCTACACCTGGGAATACCGCCAGGGAGGCTACGACCCCAGTCATATTGGGTGCGACTTGGCATGCGATTTGCATGCCATGAGACTTGCAAATTGCATGCAAGTCGCACCTTATTGTCCGCAATTACAGCGGTCATATCGGTGCTGTTCCGACTTAGTAAGAGCTGCACCGATTTCTAAAGTAGTACATGCACTACTTTTGGTGCGATTTGCATAGACATCTGTGTCAGATGTCTTGCAAATTACACCTGAAATCAGCATGTCCCCAACTTTGAAATTGTGCAACTTGAAAGTTGGACTTGATGTGACCGGGGGGTGTGCAGGCTTTTAAGGCGTCAGTGTCTTTACTAATAATTAACTCTGCAGAAATGAGTATTAAGAGGTACTAATGTACCTCTGTACTCATTCCCCTTGGAGGATGTGGATATCTGGGAACCCTTCTATTAAAATGTGGGCTTCTAGATTCCACTATACAAGTCCCTCCAATGACCCCCACATCCACAATGAGGGACTAGATGAGGGAAAGAGGCCTTTTTCCCTCAAACCTGGGACAAGGTGACTTGCAACATAGTAGGAGGGATTTGTCACCAAGGTCCAGATGGCTGACACCCGCGAGTCTTCAGAGAGCTTAGCTCAGTTATAGCCAAACCATTTCTTGTAATTTGTAAACACCCCTTACTTACTGGAATGGTACCAGCAGATTGGCGTATAGCAAATGTGGTATCAGGTTACAAAAAAGGATCAAGATGTAAACCAGGAAACTACAGATCAGTCAGCGTAACGTAAGGTATTTGAGGGAATGGTAAGAGACTCTATACAGTAATTGTTCTGTGATAAAGGCATCATAGGTGACAACCAGCATGGATTTGTGAAATACCTTTCTTGTCAGACAACCTGTTATCGTTCTATCAGGAAGTAAGTTACAAATTGTATGGTGGAAGTTCAGTGAACATAGTTTATCTGGATTTTGTTAAGGTATTTGATGCTGTACACCATAAATATTTAATTTATAAAATAAGGTCTTTTGGAGTTCATTAGATTTTTTGTACATTGATGGGAAACTGGCTACATGAATGGGTCCAGAGGGTATTGATAAATGACTCATTATCTGAATGCTTTAAAGTTATGAGTGGTGTGCCCAGGGTTTTATCCTGTGGCCAACACTGTTTAGTTTGTTTATTAATGAGACAATATAGAGGTTGGAATCAAGAGCTCAATTTCAGTGTTTGCTGATGATACCAAATTATGCAGGAAAATAACTTTGGTACAGGATAAAGCATCATTACTTTGACAAAATTGGGAGTTGGGCAGTTTTCTCAAAACTTAGAAAAGTTATGCACTTGGGTGCCAAAAATAAACATGCAAAATACAATTTAGGAGCGGCTTCTCTGGGAGAATCAGTGATGGAAATAGATCTGGGCATGCTTGTAGATCAGACTTACAAGAAAAGTAAGGCTTTTAATTTTTTTCCCCTATTTATACATACCTAGGTGAATGCAGCATTGGTCCGATGCTGCATCTGTCCCTTGTCAGCTCTAAGGGTGAGAACTCAGCGATCTCATGACCACTGTTCAGAGTTCTCACAGCTGTTCTGAGCAGAGAACAGGACTGTCAGTCATCGCTCTCTGCTCAGCCCTTTTGTTGTGATTAGCTGTGATTGAGCAAAACTCGTCACATGATACAGATAAGCTGTGATTGGCCCTGTCTGTATCATGTGACTGCTTTGACCAGTCACAGCTAACAATATAATTGTATACAATGGATGGCATGACAGGAAGCTATCCACTGTATACAATTGACATGTGATCTGCTGTGATTGCTCACAGAGGTCACATGACTCTGGCAATGGGCCGGTGTAGTGATATGTCATCAACTGTGTCCTGTGGACACAGCCGGTGGCAGATCACGCCGTTGCGCGGCCCTGTGACTCGTTTTGACAGGACATCATATGATGCCCAGTCACAACGAGGAGTGTCCTGACCAGCCGTCAATCTGCTATAGGCCAGGTGGAAATGTTAAAAGCCTTTACAGGTTGCCATTTTAGATGTACACAGGAGATCTAGTTCTAAATTACTACTCCTTGATCTGTCGTTCGTGGTGATACCTCACACGCATGCTGCAATCTCAGTTTACATACTGACACGGGACCAACGCTTGCGTTTGCCTTTGCGTGCGAGGGGGGGTTTATTTGTAAAAAAAAAAATTTTTTATCACTTTTATTATTATCACAGGGAATGTAAATATCCCCTGTGATAGCAATAGGCAGGGACAGATACTCTTTTCTGAGAATCTAGGGTCTGTTAAGACTTTAGATTTCTCCTCTGCCCTTAAAGTGTCTGATTACACCAAGATCGATGTGATCAGATGCTTTCCCAATTGTGAAATTGTGCTGTTTGTATCCGGCGAAGCCAAAATGATGAAATGCTCATTGCTTCCAGTTTCTTAGACCATAGAGATAATTGGAGCCCTCCTCTTCTCTGATCAGCTCTATGGTCAGCTGGCGGAACTGCCGGCTGTATTCTCGGGTTCCGCGGTGTGAAGTGAAATCCTGAGAAAGCCATGGGAAGGGGGGATGTCTCTTCTCGCTGCTTGTAAAAGTGATCCAGCAGCTAATTAGCTGCTAGGATTGCTTTTACATGAAAACCGACTGCCAGCTGAAAAAAACAATACCAGGATGATGTTTTTAGTTAGTTGCAGACATCATCCTGGTATAACCACTCAAAGTTCAGCAATGTACCAGTACATTGCTAGTCCTTGATGGGCATAAATGTTACAGCAGAATACACAGACATATGGTGAATCGGGTTTGTGGACCAATATGACTGCAAATCTTTATTTTTTGTAATTTCTATGTTGAGGGTTAAGCCCAAAACATTTTAAATTCAGAAACCGTGATAAGTTTCCATGCAAATTGTCTGGCAAGAGCTGAATTTGGGTGGGTAGTGATGTAATGTTGTACATATAAATTGCTTTGGCCCACAATCAATTAATACAAATTTTCTGTGAAAAACAGCGGAATGTCTAAATGCTAGTACTGGCAGTGAACGGGGCTGATCCTGCTAACACTGTGTTTTTGAAGACCCTATACTAAGGGGGCACTAGTATAGCTCTGTCCATGATCAATATATTGATCTGCATAAACACTATACTAGTAATTGGGGTGATCAGTGACCTATAGCAGTGTGTGCGCAATTTAACACTAGCAGGGATGCTAACTGACCCTGACGCTATCTGATCTCACTAGTGGCAGTAATACAGTGATCATTGTACTAATGGCACTGGTTGGGTGACCGGGTGATAAAAGGGTAATAGGAGCCATTAAAGAGTTAAATGTGCTAATCTAGTGTGTGTGTGTGTGTGTGTGTGTGTGTGTGTGTGTGTGTGTGTGTGTGTGTGTAAAATGTAGTGCTCTTACTCAGTCTGGTGTTCTCTCTTCTTTCCCTGGACCAACATGGAGGGGCAGAGGGGGATGCACGCATGCGCGCTCACACACGTAAGGGTACGTCGCTTTTCCCAGGGCCACTGCCGGCCCCCCACATTGCAGGCAGACGGTCGGCAAGTAGTTGAAAACAAATTTTAAAATGTATTTTTTTTTATTTTCTCAATTTGTATATATATATTTTATATATTTATTTTTTAAAAAACATTTTTGTTATTATAAAAAAACTTTTACCAGAATAGTCCAATGTTACCATAGTAACATTGTAGTACTCTGGGAGGATGATCAGGGATTGTGTTTTTTTTTTTTTTCTTTCTTTTACACATTGTTTTGCAGGAGCAATAAAAAGTATTGCTCCTGCAATGCAATATTTGCTTTGAACTGTCATGAATGGGTTAAGTTCATGACAGTTCAAAATACTAGTAATCTGGGGGCGTGGTGACCACTCTAGAAAAATGGCCACTAACTGAGGCAGCTCTGCGCCACAGCTGGGGAGACCTCTACACATAGGGGCTCACTGCACACTTCTGGCCCCTTCCATTGGCTGCCTCTTACACCCGGGATCCCCACAACATGTCTTGGAGGTGTAAAGAAGCCCCCATTCCGAGGAAACTGGAGGGTTTCTTCCCTCCTCTCCCCCTGAGGCTACGGCGAGATGGCAGCAGCGGCCGCAGCTCGCAACACACAGGGCCGCACAGTCACAGTCACCACCGCGCAGAGATAGATGGACAATACAATCCATCGGAATCCCCAGACTCTGGGACATCAACACAATTCACCCATAGCCCAGCCAAGTCCAGACCCCACATTGAATTGGAAAATGAGCCGGCGTCCCTAAATGACATGAAGGTAGGCACAGCTCAAGGTGATTCTCCTTTACTCCCAGACCACCCGGATCCTATAGCCATCTTTCCGACCACAGGCCAGCCAGTATCAGACTCTACATTAAAGGATTTTCTCCTATAACTTAGAGCATTCTTGCAAGTTGACTGACTCTCCTGCATCCATAATTTTAAAGAGGAACTCCACAAAGCGGGAGAAAGAGTAGGGCAGATCGCCCCCACAGAGCTCATACCGAAGATATCCAATGGCTAAAAGTGAAAGTAGCTGACCTGGAGGATAGATCTCAAAAGAACAATATTACAATACGTGTGATCCCTGAATCAGTCTGACAAAACCATTTGGTCCATTATGTACAAGACCTCTTTAAGTCTGTGGTGCCCTCCTTGTCACAAGAAGACCTCACCATTGACAGGATCCACAGAATTCCAAAACCAAATCATCTGTCCCAGGCTATCCCACGGGATGTGTTGTTGAGGATAAACTTCTCCCAGGCCAAAGAGAAGATCATGTCCACCTTTCGCCACATGCACCACCTGTTGGAGAAATTTATACAGGCTGCAGCTACTTCGCAATCTATCGCAATTCACCCTGCAGAAACGTAGGAAACTGGCTAAGGTTACAAAGGCTCTAAGGGTCTACAAAATTATTCATCACAGGCATTAACCCTGCTCCTTGGTCATCACATGTGGTGGTTTATGTAATAATTTATTCTAAATACATAGGGCGGTATCCTCTCCCTTAAACAAAATAT